AGATAGATAGATAGATAGATAGATAGATAGATAGATAGATAGATAGAAAGAAAGAATAGAATAGATAAATGGTTTAGATAGATAGTGTAGATAGGTGGTGTAGATAGTTTAGATAGACAGACAGATAGATAGAGTAGATAATGTAGATAGATGGTTTAGATAAATAGATGATAGATAGATAGATAGATAGATAGATGATAGAGTAGATAGATAGTGTAGATAGATGGTTTAGTTAGATAGTGTAGATAGATAGGTAAGTAGGTAGGAGGTAGATAGATAGATAGATAGATAGATAGATAGATAGAAACATTGTTGTGCCAGATATAATTAATACATCAGACACAAATTACGTAATCATGCAATTTTCCCAATCCTAACATGGTGTCTCATTTTGATGTTGAATCTAACTTTTGGTGGACAACACTGCTTCTCAGTAGTTTACTCTCTTTTCCGTGTTTCTTGTCCTGGCAGAGTCGGAAACGATGAAAGTATCCTTCATACGCGGAAATTTCTCTCCCAATCAACAGACTCCTTGAACAAAATCTGCCGGGTAAATGAATCCATGGAATCGTTAACAGATGAAGGTAAGTGACTGTGTTGGGAAATAACATGCTTGAATGAAGGAAAAAAGCTGAAGGAGAGAAAAGAATGTTTTCACACATGCTACATTCTCTACATGAAGAAAATTAACTCCCCTCCCCAAAAAAGTTAACGTAGATCTCTTTCTATACAATTAAGAATTCTCCCAATTATTGGAAAAACCAAACATCGCCAATTCTGCAACACGATATGGAGGACTAGACTCTAACATTTAGCATTATTCACCAATAGCCGTTGGGTTGGCACTGCTTGGAGTTGATGTCCAGCGATGTTGGGAGGGCAGTATGTTGCTTCATTAGCTCTAGATCCGTGTTTCCAAACTCGGTAGACTTCCAACTTTCCCAGCCAGCCTTGCTCTTGTTTGGAACTCGAAGTCCAGATACCTAGATATAAACTAGGTAGGACATACTGCTCTAAACTGATGCATTTGCTACATTCTGCACTGAGCATAAAATACTGTTTAGTTGCTTAGTTGCGGAGTGGTGTGGTAGCCTAGAGGTGGAGCTCTTGCCTCACAATCAGGAGGATGTGAGTTCGATCCTAGGTAGAGGCAGTTATTTCTCTCTCTGGACACAATGAGAATATATCCTCTGAACAAAACTCCGCATTGGTGACTGGAAGGGCATCTGGCCATTAAAACACTCTGTTAGTTCCATTCAGTTGCCCAAACTCCACCCCACAAGGGATTATGGGGTCGTTAAATGAAGATGATCTAGTTGCTTACAGAGCAAGTAAACCTGTGACTGGACTGCAGCATGTAAGATTACAAGAAGTATACTTTGGGCATAGCAAACTAGAGGGAATCCGTGCCAAATAATTTTCATTTTAACTGCCTGTCTGGGACCAATGAAATGCTTAAGCACTGAAATGGGCTACTTTGTTAGCTGATAAATATTTTGAAGTCCAGGCTATTTCAGAGAAACGGGATTTGGAGGGCAAGAGAACAATTCCTCTGAGGTCTGTCCCAAGACAATTGTATAAATTGTTTCCGTAGCTTGATTATGCCAGCTTCATCAAAATCCTTTTCTGATGTTCTGTTAATTTACCCACGTAAACAAAGGCAGACAAATTACATCTTAATGACAACGCAATTACCTGAAATTGCATTAATGTCTCACTCTGGGAGATTTGCACAGCAATCGTAGAATTTCTCTGCATTCATTATTAAGTTACTTTTGAAAAGGTTGTGTTGCCGCTGAGGTTTTAACACTTGGGGGTGGGGGTATCGCAGGGGATGGACCAAATTCTTCCGGGTTTATAAAAGGAGAGTTCTAGGTTTGGTTATGGATGAAACCTAAACAGTCTGATAACTTTGTGATGATTGTAGCCTTAGAAAACTATAATAGCATTCTCGCAAGATCCTAATTCTGTATCTTTTTTTTTTTTGTACTCAAGGTGAGAAGTTTGCGTTCTGTTCCACTTAACTCTTTTTTTCTGCAAATTATTGCCCCAAAGGGAGTGGCGTTTCTTAATGCATAAACTGGGAACCTTTTTTAATTTTCAATTGATAACTTCATTCCTTCATGGTCAAGACCCAGGGGCCTTCAAACTTGACAGTTTTAAGACTTGTGGACTTCAACTCCCAGAATTCCTCCTCCAGTCATGTTAGCTCAGGAATTCTGGGAGTTGAAGTCCACAAGTCTTAAACTTGCCAAGTTTGAAGACCCTTGCTCTATGTTGTGTTGTATTTGTTGTCTGTGGACAAAAAAAACCAGAGTGGTATGAATTGTGAAGCTGGCAACCATTGTGAGGAGTCAATTGAAATGATAGATGAAGGGTTGATTATCCTACATAGCTTCTGAGACAGATTATAAAGGTTCCAGAGCAGTGGAATAAATGGGCAGCTCTAACAAGAGAGATTTACCCCAAGGAAGTACTGCTCTGCCTTTTTTCTTGCCTGTAAGAGATTTGAAACTAGGGAAGAGCAGTGAAATAGCCAAGAGCAGGGAGTGTGGACTTCAACTCCCAGAATTCCTCCTCCAGTCATGTTAGCTCAAGAATTCTGGGAGTTGAAGTCCACAAAGTCTTAAACTTGCCAAGTTTGAAGACCCTTGGCCAAGACAGTGTGAAAAAGCAAGTGGGGAGTCAATTCAAAGTGTCTGACACCCCTTTTTTTCAGCCACTATTTTTTCTCACCAAGAGCAGAATTCAGAAAAAGGACCATTGCCCAAGGTGCAAAGTAATATCTATAATCAAAATATATCATAATCAACACTCTGCATGCTGCCTGCAAAATAGAATTCCTTTACTCCTTTGAGCTCAAGCGGCTAAATTCCATTGGTTATTCCTCTGATCATGTGACTAGAATGAAGGTCCTGTCCTATTTTGGCTGCTTTCTAAATCCTAGGGAAACATCACATGCAAGACCTGAAGGAAATCAAAATATTCGCCCAACTAGTGTTTTGAGATATTTATGGAATTGATAGATCTTGCAACCAGGAGGCATCAAGACTCTTGGCTTTGGATCATTAGGAAAACAGTTGTTAAGTGAATCTGGCTTCCCCATTGACTTAGGTTGTCAGAAGGTCACAAAAGGGGATTACATGACCCTGGGACACTGCAATTGTCATAAATATGAATTAGTTGTCAAGCATCCGAACATAAATCACACGACCGTAGGAGATGCTACAGTGGTTATAAGTGTGAAAAATGGTTATAGGTCATTTTTTTTAGTACCGTTGTAACTTTCAACAGTCACTAAATGAACTGTTGTAAATTGAGGACTAGCTGTACAAGAATCAGATCATCTCTGTCTCTCTCTTCTAGGGGCAGACATGAATGAAGGACAGCTCATGGGAGATTTTGAAACAGACTTGAAACATCTGGAAGCTCAGTCTTGGAGTCAAGTGGTGGACAGCAAGTTTCTCAAACAACAGAAGAAAGACATTGTGAAGCGACAGGACGTCATTTATGGTGAGTGACAGGCAAAATACAGTCTCCTGGTTTAAGTTCTGCAATAGGGAGAGAAATCATGCCATTTTGATTTATTTTGTATTTTTAGCCATACTGTAGCTTGGTTGGCTTGATTTGGAATAAGTGTGTCTTTGAAGCCAACAAGCAATGCAGTATTACTGCAATTATTCTTTCTATAATAACTCTTTTGAGCATTTTACATATTTGCTTTTCTACCCTGTGTTCTGTTCTTTGCTGTTTTATTTTATGGTAGGTCATATGTATTCTTATTTTACATTTATTTATTTAGTGTATGGCATCTACAAGAGGTCATGCAATCACTGATATACACATTTAGTTTTAATAAAGCATCAACAAATATAGTTGATAGATAGATAGATAGATAGATAGACAGACAGACATAGATGATAAATATAGATAGATGAGAGATGAGAGAGAGGTGATAGATAGATGATAGATAGATGGACAGATGATAGATAGATAGATACCAGTAGATAGATGAGACAGAGTCAGACATACAATACAATATAGGAGCCTAACCCTAACCATAATAAAATCACCATAATATGGAGTCATAGAATTGCAATGAGATAGATGTTATAATTCAACACCTAAGGAAGCTAACCATCTCAATGTTTCTGGAGTTGCTGTGGTGAGGACATTCCAGGTGCCTTGAAATTTCCCGAGGTGCCATTCTTGGACTATATGTGTTATATAGTTTGCTTTGGTGGCACATTGTGAGCTCTTGGCCATTCCCCACTTATTTTACGCTCTCTTTAGTTCATATTGCCAGTGAGTTGCATCGGAGGATTTCTGATGAGGGTAGATACAGTGAAATAGGTATTCAAGCACTTCTCGAATAACTCAGCTATAGAAGCCATATTGACTTCTAAATCAAAGGCGAGAAAAGCTGTAGCTGTGTTTTCTCACGCCTTGGCAGAGCCTTGTGTATCTTTCTGATTGTCCCCTCTATGCTTCTCCTTTCCAGAACTGATGCAGACGGAGATGCACCATGTCCGGACCTTGAAGATCATGAGCGATGTCTACAGCAGAGGCATGGTGCAGGAGCTACAATTTGAGCAGCAGATGGTGGAAAAAATCTTTCCTTGCTTGGACAACTTGCTGAACATCCACAGCCAGTTCTTTCAGCGAATCCTGGAGAGGAAAAAGGAATCCCTGGCTGACCGAAGTGAGAAGAACTTTGTCATCAAGAGGATAGGGGACCTCTTAGTGAATCAGGTAAGTTGCCATAAGCCTTGCCTCCAAAGAAGGACACAAGTTCATGATTTGTCTGTCATTCTTCTCCACTACATTTTCTTCACAAAATTTGCTTTGGAAACCTTTTCGAAGAGAAGTACGTTTCTGAAGATTGAGTTAAAGGGCGGTGCCTTTGTGCTTATCTGAATGATAAAGTGGCCAAAAGGTTTATCTAAACAGAGATCTTGTTTAGTTGTCTTTACAACAAATCCCGTGGCTTCCGTTCAGTCTCAAAGGAGGACTGACTTATTTTAGTGATGTCAACCCATTTCTGTATTTTTGCCAAGAAAATGGCAGGGATATTTCCACAGAATGACAACTGTTGAAGATACCTTTATTGTTTTTTTCATTGTCCCCTTAGATAGTTTTAATGACCAAAGCAAAAACAAAATCACAAATGGAAGATGGAATTGATACAGAATAAAACTGTTGTCTCCTTTGATGAGCGGAGAAGCACAAATTCAGGGAGATCATTTCAATTTAACTTTATGGTCCATTTGCTTTCAGTTAAGACCTCAAGAAGAATTTAAACAACCCATATAGATCCAAAGAAGTAGATATTTCTTTCTCTGGGCACAATGAGAATATTTCTGCTGAACGAAACTCCGCATTGGCAACAGGAAGGGCATCCGGCCATTAAAACACTCTGCTAGTTCCATTCAGTTGCCATTCACTCCACCCCGCAAGGGATTATGGGATCGTTAAATGAAGATAAAAGAAGATGATATAGATCCAAACCTCTGCATTGACAAAAGCATCCCGACTAAAACCTCTTTCCCTAGATGTCAATGGCCTCACCTCTTGCAGAACCTTCTGCAAGAGGTGAGGCCATTGACATCTGGGGATGTCTTAAGTGGGCTTGGATGGTGTTCCTCACTCCATGGATCCCCTCCTTTTTTATTTATCTCTTGCAATTTGCAGTTTTCTGGGGAGAACGCTGAGCGAATGAAGAAAACGTACGGGAAGTTCTGTGGGCACCACAATGAGGCCGTGAATTACTTCAAAGACCTTCATTCTAAGGATAAAAGATTTCAGGCCTTCATCAAAGTAAGCTGGCAGGGGGATACAGTTTTTGCGAGGGTTGTGGGTTTGACCTTTAGAATGATAGGAATGATGAAACCTACCTGAAGATTAACATTATCCAGGCTTTGCTTGTTATACAATACAGCTACCAGGTGTTGACTGACATAGTTTTATTGAAAACTCCTGCTCCATCTGGGGACTTCTCTGTCTGCATCAGCTGTGGATAATAGCAATAGCACTTAGAATTATATGTCGCTTCACAGCCCACTCTAAGCAGTTTACAGAGTCAGCCTATTGCCTTCCATAATCTGGGGCCTCATTTTACCCACCTTGGAAAGAGGGAAGGCTGAGTCAACCCTGACCCTGGTGAGATTCAAACTGCCAAATTGCAGTCAGTCAACAGAAGCAGCCTGTAGTACCGCACTCTAACCACTGCGCCACCATGGCTCATAATGTAGTGTTCTAGATGTTGTTGGCCTGTAATTTCCATCAGCCTTGGCCACTGTTGCCCAACAGCGAAGGAAGATGGAAATTAACAGCATCTCAAGGATTTATACAGGTAGTCCTCGACTTGCAACAACAATTAAGCCCAAAGTTTCTGTTGCTATGCCAGACAGCCATTAAGTGAGTTTTGCCCCACTTTACAACCTTTTCTTGTCCCAATTGTTAAACACCGCAGTTGTTTTTTTAAATTTTTTAATTAAATTTTTATTCTTTAAAAACCAAAAATACAGAATGCTCATTTCCATCAACAGTGTTTGTGTTACTGTATATACATGTTTCTCATTTTGTGACTATACATCATTTTTATCTTTATTCTTCACCCATTCATACCACCTATTGCATATTATGAATATCGCATAATATTCTCGATCATCCTTGCCTCTTAATTCCATAGTGAATTTGTCTAGCTCTGCACAATCCATTATTTTTTGAATTAAAGTTTCATCTGGTGGTATTTTCTTGCTCTTCCAACTATGTGCAAAGGTGATTCTTGCTGCCGTTAAGATGTGTACAATAATATATCTTTTATCCTTGCTCAAATTCCCTTTAATCATATCTAATAGGAAGATTTCTGGTTCCAGTTTAAGTCTATAATTTGTAATTTCAAAAAGCCCCTAACCTCTATACATTGCCACCACATGTGGAAAAATGTTCCTTTTTTTTACAATCTTTTCTTGTCCCAGTTGTTAAGTGAATCACTGCTTTTGTTAAGTTCATAACATGTTGGTAAGAGCATCTGGCTTCCCCATTGACTTTGCTTGTCAGACGGTCACAAAAGGGCATCACGTGACCCCGGGACACTGCAACCATCATAAATATGAGTCAGTTGCCAAGTGTCTGAATTTTGATCACATGGTTACGGGGATGCTAATGCCTAACAGGCATAAGTTGCTTTTTTTCAGGGCTGTTGTAACTTTGGTCAACTTTGGTTGTAAGTTGAGGACTACCTGTACTTGTCCCTCTAAAATTATTAAGCATTGTCTAGAGAACTTTAGCTCTGCAGGGTTCTTTAAGACTATTAACCAACTAGCTCAAAAGCGGTGCTTTGCTACGAAACTATGTGGTCGGGCTTAGTTTTGGGAGAGGAAAATAGGGGGGGGGGGCGAATTCTGCCTCTGCCTACCAGCATCCATCGGTATTCATCCGGCTAGTGTCCTGTCAGTGTGTGAGTGACTTGAGGGCTGTTTGGAAACTGAAACAGGAAAACTGAAATAGGGAAACTGAAACAGTATTTGCTGTGTGAACAAGGAGACAGCAAGGAGCCTGGGCGTAGCTTAGCTCAACTGTTTTGTACTAAAGCTGGTTGCTGCTATGAAACTAAAACTGAAACTCCTCTCCTCTGCTGGTGTTTTGCATTTGGAAGAGATTTCTTTTCAGGTGGGGAGGGGGAATAGAACAGAGCATGTTAATAATAATATATGGAATACTAATGCTCTGATGGCCATTTTGAAAAATCCTTTCTTAGTGAGCACCTAGAAGCCAAGAGGAACATATGTGCCAAATTTCAAGTTTGTAGGTTTTACAGTTCTGGAGATTTTGTGATATGCTTGAGTGGTATTTCGCTTTTATATACAGGTGAAACTCAAAAAAATAGAATACCGTGCAAAAGTTCATTTATTTCAGTAATGCAACTTAAAAGGTGAACCTAATATATGAGAGAGACTCATTACATGCAAAGCAAGATAGTTCAAGCCGTGATGTGTCATAATTGTGATGATTATGGCTTACAGCTCATGAAAACCCCAAATCCACAACCTCAGAAAATTAGAATATTGTGAAAAGGTTCAATATTCTAGGCTCAAAGTGTCCCACTCTAATCAGCTAATTAAGCCATAACACCTGCAAAGGGTTCCTGAGCCTTTAAATGATCTCTCAGTCTGGTTCAGTAGGAATCACAATCATGGGAAAGACTGCTAACCTGACAGTTGTGCAGAAAACCATGATTGACACTCTCCATAAGGAGGGAAAGGCTCAAAGGGTAATTGTGAAAGAAGTTGGATGTTCCCAAAGTGCTGTATCAAAGCACATTAATACAAAGTTATGTGGAAGGGAAAAGTGTGGAAGAAAAAGGTGCACCAGCACCAGGGATGACCGCAGCCTGGAGATGATTATCAGGAAAAGGCCATTCAAAAGTGTTGGGGACTTTCACAAGGAGTGGACTGAGGCTGGAGTCAGTGCATCAAGAGCCACCACACATAAATGGATCCTGGACATGGGCTTCAAATGTCGTATTCCTCTTGTCAAGCCACTCCTGAACAATAAACAACGTCAAAAGCATCTTACCTGGGCTAAGGAAAAACAGAACTGGTCTGTTGCTCAGTGGTCCAAAGTCCTCTTTTCTGATGAGAGCAACTTTTGCATCTCATTTGGAAACCAAGGACCCAGAATCTGGAGGAAGAATGGAGAGGCACACACTGCAAGATGCTTGAAGTCCAGTGTGAAGTTTCCACAGTCTGTGTTGATTTGGGGAGCCATGTCATCTGCTGGTGTTGGTCCACTGTGCTTCATTAAGTCCAGGGTCAATGCAGCCGTCTACCAGGAGATTTTGGAGCACTTCACGCTTCCTTCCGCAGATGAGCTTTATGGGGATGCTGACTTCATTTTCCAGCAGGACTTGGCACCTGCCCACACTGCCAAAAGCACCGAAACCTGGTTCAATGACCGTGGGATTACTATGCTTGATTGGCCAGCAAACTCGCCTGACCTGAACCCCATAGAGAATCTATAGGGCATTGCCAAGAGAAAGATGGGAGACATGAGACTGAACAATGCAGAAGAGCTGAAGGCCACTATTGAAGCATCCTGGTCTTCCATAACACCTCAGCAGTGCCACAGGCTGATAGCTTCCATGCTACGCCGCATTGAGGCAGTAATTGCTGCAAAAGGGGCCCAAACCAAGTACTGAATACATATGCAGGCTTATACTTTTCAGAGGTCCGATATTGTTCTATGTACAATCCTTGTTTTATTGATTGCATGTAATATTTTAATTTTCTGAGATTGTGGATTTGGGGTTTTCATGAGCTGTAAGCCATAATCATCTCAATTATGACAAATCACGGCTTGAACTATCTTGCTTTGCATGTAATGAGTCTATCTCATATATTAGGTTCACCTTTTAAGTTGCATTACTGAAATAAATGAACTTCTGCACGATATTCTAATTTTTTGAGTTTCACCTGTATATAGATATGGTGATTCTGGAATTCTGTTTTGAAGATTATGGTCATCGCATATATAAGATACTCCTCGCTATTCAGGTGCTTCAATTTTCTCTCCTTTCTTCAGAAAAAGATGAGCAGCTCCGTGGTGAGGCGCTTGGGTATTCCTGAATGCATCTTGCTAGTAACGCAAAGGATCACCAAATACCCAGTGTTGCTACAGAGAATATTGCAATATACCAAAGGTAGTTTTTTCTGTAGATGTTTCTGTAATCCTCTAGTTGCCTTCCTTTTCTAGAATTAATAATGTCTTCGATGAAAGATAAAAGAGAAGCAAGAGAAGGAAGATACAGAATACTATCAAATATGGGATTTGTTTTATTGGATAAATAATTGGGGTTGGATAATAGAAGAAGAAATTAGCATCTGGGAAAACTTTATTACGTAAGCAATTGATCCAGACAATACACTGTTAACAAAGCACTTATTAAATGTCAATGTACAAATAAACTTTAAAAAAAATAATGTCTTCAATGACACTGACCTTTTAAAAAAATCTTGAATACCCAGAACAGTGGCATTAATTTGATCTGGTTCATCGTGATTTTATAGATTAGGGGACCACCAAACTTGGCAACTTTAAGACTTGTGGACTTCAATTCCCAGAATTCCCCAACCGGCATGTCTCATCTGAGGGCTGGCTGAGGAATTCTGGGAGTTGAAGTCCCCAAGTCTTAAAGCCGCCAATTTTGAAGATTCTTGCCTGTTATAGCTAATGTTTTAAAATGTTTGAAAGTATCCCTTGCTTGTTGTGAAGATGGTTGTCTTAGATTTTGGGCTTCTATTCATTGAGATGAACATTTGCAGTGTTTCCTTTCTAAAATGAAAGTGCTTTTAAAAATATTTCAGTTTCATTTAACTACTCAGCTGTGGGTTTTAAAGGCTAAATAAATGCATAATGGCACATAAATCCTTTTTCGATGAAAAGCCAGTGGACTGTGGGATGAATCAGGCAGAGAGATACAGTTGAGTTAGAGTTCACCAATGGAAAAATTGCAGTGTTTGCTCTTTTTGTGACACTGCATTCCTTTTTGGTCTCTTACACCCACATGTGCAAAGTGTAAGAGAAAAAGAAGTCTAGCTAACCTACTGTAGCCGAAAAGCCAGATGTGCTCAGGATCACATGCAAAGTAAACCCACTGGGGATTCACACGACCCCTTTCTAATTCCTCCTATGACAGATGTTTGCTTAGATACAACTACTGGATAGAAGAATGACAGCTGGCCTTCAGTGTTGTAAAACAGGGAAGATAACCCTTGAAGTTGCTTATTTTATTCATTTAATAAGTAATTTTTATATAACATTTATAATATTTATATAATTGTTTATCTAATTTAGTCACCAAGCCTTCAGACTGGAGGTCTTGGAAGAAAAGACTGGACAGCCACTTGTCTGAAATGGTGTAGGGCCTCCTGCTTGGGCAGGGGGTTGGTCTAGAAGACCTCTGAGGTCTCTTCCAATCCTGCTATTCTGCCAATATGTGTATATCAATAATTTGGTTAAAGAAATTGGCGTGAATGAGGTCAGCAGGAGGATTATTATACACACATCAAATGTAGTCTTCAGTCAAAATCAGCTAAAATAACTTTTAAAACTTCATTAAGGTAATTGAACGCACAATTCACATTACATAAACAGCAGTCCCCTTTGGAAATATTTGAAAACCAGAGAGCAATGCTGTTTGTTCATCAAAATCTTCATGCATGTTGATGGTGTAAACATACTAGTCGGTTACGTGGACTGGATGGACTGGATTCCTGTCCTAAGTAAATTTCTTGGAGTGGGGAATCTAGAAGTGGATAAGTTGTTGGTTAGAAAAAAACCGAATAAAAAAACAGGGCTGAGCTTGGAGAAGGGAATCCTTTGGGAGGAAAGAAGATAACAAACCAAATTTTCTTCCGTTTAAGAAAATGACACTGAACATCAAGACTTGGTGCTTTCGTTGAACCTGGTGAAGGAAGTCCTAACTGCGGTTGACAGCAAAGTGAGCAACTATGAGAAGAAGATGCGCCTCAGCGAGATCTATACCCGGACAGACAGCAAGTCAATCATGAGAATGAAGAGTGGGCAGATGTTTGCCAGAGAAGACCTGAGGCGCAGGAAGTTTGTCCGGGATGGACCGGTTTCTCTCAAAAATGTAGCTGGGAGGTTGAAAGGTAAGGGATGCTTTCAGTGCGATCCCACGGGGACTCAGTACTGCTTCTTTGCCTTGATTCGGACACAACAGGCACCGTACAGTCCTTGCACTGATGATGTTACCTAGATTGGTCAAATGTCTGCAAAAAAACAACCAATGCCTTTCATTTCAACCCGGAGGTACAAATATTTTCTTTTGTTGGTCCTGTAAACTTCTTTCCACATCTGCTTAAAATGGGATGGTTCTCCAGGTTGTAGAAATCGGCTGCGAATTCTTCCGGCCAGATATGATGCCAGATAGCATGCTTATGACATAGGTTTTTTTGAGAAACCTTCTATCTCGAATAAAATCTTAGTTGCGGGGGTGGAAGGAAAAAAGTACAATGATGCACTCTGCACACAAAGTCATTTAACTGCATTTTGCCTGGAGGGATGAGGGAAACTTTTGCAGGAAAGTCCTGAATTCCTCTCAGACAAATCCTCTTTGGCCTGAACCTGAACGAAGAGCTGAAAATGAATGGTATCGAAACCTAAACAGGAAAAATGCCACAAAACTGATGACTCTACTTGCTGCTAGGCACAATTTGCAGAATCTTTATTTTGATTTGAAATTGTTTCAGGAAATAAAAGAAGAGGTATTGTAAGTAATACTGATAAATGCAGACATATCAGGTTTGGGTTGGCTGTTTTTTCAAATCGGATCTTTTGATGTTCCTTTCCTTCTCAGAAGTCCTAGCTGTTCTTCTCTCAGATGTTCTGATATTCCTCCAGGAAAAGGATCAAAAATACGTATTTGCATCCCTGGTAAGGAATTCTATACAATTCTTTTTTCCATTAAAAACAAACAAATCACACTTTGGTTGCATTTGCATAATAAGACAAGTTAAATTAGGAGTCCACTTTAGGTGGTTTCTTTACTATTGCTCCAGAATCAGGACAGATCATGTTGTAGGTATGATTGTATGTGTAGAGATTGCAGTTGCCCCAAATCGACCTAATGCATCTCTTCTTCAACTCACAAAAAAGGATCAAAAATCCACCGTGATCTCATTGAAGAAGCTGATTGTCCGTGAAGTTGCCCACGAGGAGAAGGGCTTGTTCCTGATCAGCATGGGTGGGAAAGACCCTGAGATGGTGGAAGTTCATGCCGGCTCTAAGGAGGAGCGTAACAGCTGGATTCAAATCATCCAGGACACTATCAACACAATGTAAGAAGATAAGTGTTGGTGCAATGAGAGATGTTGTTTGGGTTTGCTTCCAGCGAATGAATGCTTGGTGGAAGATAGAATAAAAAGAAGGTATCTCAGTCTGATGCCCCTGGACGGTGTCCCATCTTTGAATGGAGGATGTTTGATTTGGGAAGGCTGTTTTGCAGACATTTGAATTAGAAGAATCTAGATGTCCACTAGATGGCAGAAGAGGTTTTCCATGTTTCTTCACTTTGTTCATCTTGATTTTCCCCACAAGGTTTAGTAATCATGGCTTTCCGAAGAAAAAATCTGGGGTTTGAAATTCTGGGATTTCAATCCCTTGTGAGGAGATCGAGTTATCTACGGGAGCTTCCTATGCTTGATATCCATTCATTCGTTTGCAACACCAATAGAGAGAAACTTACTGTGAAATTTCCAAACGCCTCAAGAGTTCTACATCTTTAATATTGTTTAAAAGAACTAAACAGATATTGTGTTTGGTGTAGTTGACTTGTGTAGTTTGATGAAGTGGCTAAGGTGCTGGCCTAGAAAACGGGAGTTCTAGTTCCGCCTTAGGTATGAATGGTGGCTGGGTGACCTTGGGCCAATCTCCAGAAGACTGAGAGTACTAGTCCTGTCTTAGTCAATGAAAGCCAGCTGTGTGACTTTGGGCCAATCACTAGGAGACTGTGAGTTCTAGTCCTGCCTTAGGTATGAAAGCTGGCTGGGTAATTTTGGGTCAGTCACTCTTTCTTAGCACAAATCACCTCACAATGTTGTTGGGGTGGGAGAAATTGAAGAAAATATTAAGTATATTTCATGCCTTGAGTTGCTTATAAAAATATATAATAAAAGCAGGATTTTAAAAATCTAAAAAATAAATAAGCATAGTAGGTAATCGTACCAGAGTAGGAGATGAAACTGGGCTGAAATAAACGGAGAGAGGGTTCAGTATAAATGATATGAAAATGAAAATTTCTCCAACATGTTTTTTTTTCCAATCTGCCTGATTGTTCTACAGGGACAAAGAGGAAGATGAAGGTATCCCTAGCGAATCGGAAGAGGAGAAGAGAGTGCTGGACACCAAGGCCAGGGAGCTGAAAGGTAAAAATGAAAAAGATGGGCATAATCTGCATTGTTAGTCACTTAAACTCCAGCAATTCTCTGTTTCAGCATAAGATGGAGCTCCAGCCTTAGAGATTGCAAACCCCACCAACTTTTAAATAACTTTCCGTCCTCTGTAAGAGTTCCCTAGCTGACCTCTCCTTTTTTTTTAATCCTCTCACAGAACAACTCCAGCAAAAAGATCAGCAGATTATCACTCTCTTGGAGGAAAAAGAGAAGATTTTCAGAGATATGACCGATTGCAGCGGGCATGAAGAAGGACTGGGGGCCAGGATGCTGTTCCGGGCCAACACAGAGGAAGCACCGAAAGGAGAAAGCATAATGAAGAATCTGATCAGTGAAGGTAAGCTGGTCTTTCACCCAACATTTGTCACTTGCTTTTCTGATAGAGTCTAAGCTCTGAATATCTTGGACAAGGCAAATAGCTGGATTTCAAGGAAGTAAACTGCAACAGCCCAAGAACCAAGAATTGAAAAGAGCTAATCATTACGGATACAATGAATGTTACAGAGTTTTGCTTTTTTATTTTTAATTTATTTATTATTTTATTTTATTTATTTATTTATAATTTTATTTTATTTTATTTTAACCAAGAGGGCTTGGTGTTTTTATTCATGCATTATTTTTATATATTAATTTTTTTATGCCACCCTACAAGGTGACTCTGGGTGGTTTTGACTGTTTGCTCAGGGTTGTTGTTGCAATATGTGAACAGTTAGAAAATGTTTAAGTAAATAGATATATTAAATACATGTAGTCCTTGACAGTTCATTTAGTGATCGTTCAAAGTTACAACGACACTGAGGAAAGCAACTTATGACCAGTTTTCCACCCTTAAGGAATGGTGCAGCACTCCCATGGTCAGGGGATGAAAATTAAAATGCTTGGCAACTGACTCGTATTTACAATGGTTGCAACATCCCGGGGGGTGGGGGGGAGGTGTCAAATCCCCTTTTGTGGCCTTCTGACAAGCCAAATCAACGGAGAAGCCAGATTCACTCAACAACCCATGTTCCTCACTGAACCACAGCAGCGATTCACTTAACAACGGTGGCAGGAAAGGTCGTAAAATGGAGCCACAGCCCGCTGAACGAATAAACATAAATTCTGGGCTCAGTGGCAGTCTTAAGCCGAGGACTACCTGTGTGTATTTATTTTTAAATGAATAAATAAGCAAGTGGCAGCGGATGAACCTGGATGGTCTTATGACGGCGCTGCATCTTCTTTCAGTTGAGCAGTTGCAAGGTTTGGTGAGCAGAAGCCTTGGAAGTGCTTTTGGGCAGCAGGTGACCAACCTTGCCTCTGATCAGGAGAGCGTGGGGCCCATCTCTCTCCCCAGGAGGGCAGAGACCTTTGGAGGGTTTGACAGCCACCAAATGAATGTCTATAAAGGTGAGCCTTTTCTTCCTCCCTATTAAATTTTGCCCTTTTAGTTTGCGGTCCTGAATGGTGGAAACGTGGCTTCTGCCATAATTACAGTCACTCCCAAGGCTCACATTTCGAAGAACCTTAGGCTGTATTTGTTTTGGCTTCGCCCAGTGACTGCGCCCAGTCTTTATGTACAAATGATGGTCTATGGCTTGGTGTGATGTGGGTCCTGCCCTCTTCAGTTTCTCAGTTACACTGTTGTGGCCCTCCACCAGCGAACAGAGCTGGCAGCAGAGTCGGACAGTGAGGAGGTTGGGGAGGAACTTGGGCCAGTCCTAAGGCTGAGGAAGGCTCGGAAAAGGAGGCATAGATGGGGGAGGGCAGGCTCTGCATCGGAGGCATAGATGGGGCCAGGGCAGGCTGGTAGTCATCAGCTGCCTTTGGGCTTGGACAGCAGTGAGGCGGGGGAGCTTTTGGAACCGGTTCCTAGCCTTTGCATGCACAGAGCTACCAAAAGAAAAGAACAATTGTGAACTAAAGGTTAATGTGGGAGTAAGGCCACAGGTGAACGCTGAATGGCCCCTCCCATAGGGATTAAAAGAGGAGCAAAAGGGGAGGGGGCTTTTGCAGGAAACAATTTGTTTGTTGCAGCAGTGGGAAGTTCTGTCTGTGCATCTCAGAGACTCTGTGCTGAGTCCTTCCTTGTCAGCACTGCGTTTGAAAATATTTACTTGGCAGCTCTTCAGGCTGGATAAGTTCTGTGCTCCTAATTAGACCCTTGAAAGGCTGTTTGCCAGGCCTTTGGCTGAATGTGAATGCAAGAAATTCACCTTCGTTCAATCAAAGCGGTTTTGCCAGGACAAAAAAATCTGCTTAGTGCTTTTGGGGGAAGCCTAGGTCAAAACACACACACAGACACACACACACAAACCTACTCAAAGTTTTTGGTTTTTCTAGGTGGCGAGAAGGATGAAGGAGAAGAAGTGCAAGATCTCCGGAGGACAGAGTCCGACAGTGTGTTGAAAAAGGTATGGAATGGCTAAGTGTTCAACAGCTTTCCATGTTCAGCCTCCTGCCTCTTCCATCTCGTGTAGAGTTTTGGCTAATAAGGGAGTGCGAACCCCTGGAAAAAGGTGCAACCACACTTAAAATGCCATCTATTTGTCGGAGACCCAGACTAAATGGTAAAGGTAAAGATTGCCTTGTCAGTTGTGTCCAAGTCTAGGGCATAGTGCTCATCTCCGTTTCCTGGCCAAGGGAACCAGCCAGCATTGTCCGAAGACACTTACCATGGTCATGTAGCCAGCATTACTATCCACCAACAGCACACAGAATGTGATTACCTTCCCACCCATGTGGTACCTATTTATCTAATTGCATTTGCATGCTTTCAAACTGCAAGGTGGACAGGAGCTGGGCAAGAATGGGAGCTCACCCTGTGACATGGAGCTCAGGTCTCGAATCTGGGCTGTCAGTTCTCCAGCTGACCAGGTCAGTGTCTTTAACCATTGAGCCCTCCCACCCCCACCAAACGGTGCCTAGGACTTGTCCACACACCATGTTTGACTAGAGTGATCAACAGTCCTGCAAAGTCTACCAGTAATTGAGCCACCCTTCCTAATAGCTCACTTTCCCACTTAGCAGCTTCAGTTCCTTCGATTACCAGCAGATCCGCTGCTTTTATCTTCTGCAGAAGGCGTCACGCTGCATCTCTGGGCTTGATTGTGGTGATTGAGGGTGAGAGGTCAAAGCAACGGCAAGAACAGTGACCTGAACAACGGTCTGTCCCTCCTAGCATTAAACTGATAGCTGCAGGAGGGTGTCCTTGAACCAACACTACCACTTCTGCTGAGCTGCACCTTTCATGTCACTTTTAATTAGCATCACCCTTCCTTGTAAATCCCTCCAGCTGTTCTATGGGAGAAAATTCGTTTCTCCTGTCAGCTGATAAATCCTGAGAAACCTCAAAAGAAGGTAGCAAAACAGGGTTCCATCATGATCGTTCTCAGAGAAGTTAAATCCTGGAAGGCTGTTTTCAGATTAGAAGGCAATTAGTGGCATATTTGTTTTATGTTATTGTGTTTTGTTGTTCGGTGTTTTATGCTCACTTTGGGTCCGTGACCATAAACATACAAGGCTAAGCTTTCAAAAATAAGTTGTTGTTTATGATTTATTGGGATCTCTCGTCCTTAAGTCTCTTTCTCATTGAGAGTATCTATGGTCTCTTCTCAGGGAGGAACAGCTAACTTGATGTTTGTGCTAAAGAGAAACAATGAGGTAAGTGTTTGCATTCAAAAATGCCCTTTTGTTTACACAGCTCCTAGAAAATGGGATCATCCCCTTCTTCTGCCTAATGAAATATCTTCTTCTTTAATTTTGTCTTCCAATCTGGAATGTTATTTATTTATTTATTTTGGAAAATTTATATTTATATATGCCTACTCACTCATGGTGACTCTAGGTTGCTTATAGAAAATAAAAAACACAACATAGCAATAGCAATAGTACTTAGACTTATATACCACTTCACAGTGCTTTCCAGCCCTCTCTAAATGGTTTACAATCTGGGTCCTCATTTTACTGACCTTGGAAGGACAGAAGGCTGAGTCAACCTTGAGCCAGTTAGAATTGAATTCCTAACAGTGAGCAGAGTTAGCCTGTAATACTGCATTCTAACCACTGCACCACCATGGTTCCTGAAGAAATAAAAATAATAAATCATAATATAATAATAAAATAGTAACACACACACACATACCAGTGACAACATATACTCAAATCAGCCATTTGATACGCTCCATTCCACTCTGGGTTGGCAAAACAACTTCTTCAGGGCCTTCCTAAAGACTGTCAAGAGTAGGAGGCAGTCTAATTTCTGGAGGGATGATGTTCCAAAGAGAGGGAGCCACCATGGAGAAGGCCCTTCTTCTGGGTCCTGCCTCATGTACCTCCTTAGTTTTCTTGCTCTGTTTGTTATTAGAATGACTTTGGTGCCTCTTCGTGACAAGCTTTGGGCTAAACCAGCACCTTCTGGATATCCTACAGTTGGTTGGACCACAGTGCCATTATAATGGAAGTTGTACTTGTTAGATTTTGCAGCAGAAATTCAAATCCAGAAAGTACACAAATGACTGATTCAGCAGGATTCAATAACTTCTTTATATACATAATAATATCGAAGTAAAGTTTACAATATCAATAGTAGATTCTTCCAATGTGGCAGAGAGTTACAGGCAAAAAAACACAGGCAGAGGAGAAAACAGCAGAAAACAGTTTCCGTTTTGATTCAGAGTTGCAGACCAGCCTTGCAGCTTCAGAGCTCGGAGCTTAATCTAGAGCAAGGCTCTTCAAACTTGGCAAGCTTAAGGCTTGTGGACTTCAACTCCCAGAATTCCTGAGCTAACAGGAATTCTTCTTCCTGACTGGAGGAAGAATTCTGGGAGTTGAAGTCCACACATCTTAAAACTGTCAAGTTTGAAGACCCCTGATCTAGAGCCATGCCTAGGTTCCTTACAGTTTCAGTTTCCAAACAGTCCTCATTGGCTGATTTAGTTGCTATGCCTATTCATTGGCTGACCTTGTTACCATGCCTCTGCCAGTTCATGAATATTCTGACAGTACTTCTATCCAGACAGCACCAGTTAGGGACAGTTGGAGAATGTGCAGGTTGTCTTTGCTGTGATTGGCTGGGAGAAGAGAAAACCCACATAATGTTGACTTGGGTACACAAGTGAACCTTTGAAGTTTTATGATATCCCCAGTCCTTGAATTTCTGAAGAAACACAGAAATTGTCCCTGAAAGTTTAATGCAAAGCTAATAGAAATTAATATTTCCCAGTGGCTGATGAAAAAATTGTTTTGTTTAAATAATGGAATTAGTAGTTTTATTTATTATGCATTCATAACTAAGTGCAGTACAGACATAGAATTTTAAAAAGAATTCATAAAATGATATATTGAATAGAAATCTTTATTACAGTCAAAGATCAGTACATAATAAAACTCAGTAATTTGAAACAGATTACACATATGTATAGAAAGGCACCAATATATGTAATTGATAGGTGCAATTATAATAATTACATAATATAAAATAAGAACCCTCTAAATTAAATGGTCCATGACATGTAATTGTATTAATCTAAATATACATTTCAAAGTAATACAGTACAAAAATATTATAAAATAGCCACAGCCTCATTGTATTAGTAAATTCAGCATTGAGAGAAAGTCTATAGAGTCACAAAAGATTTACACATTTAAATTAGATAAAACAAACTCACCTTGGAATACTGTGCTTTTATGTAACATTATGCCTCTCCAAACGCCATATGTCAACCTAAATCAATGTTGTTCCTTGAAAAACCAAGCAATGCAAAATAAGCGGTATAGATTTGGAAAAAAAGACAAATTAGAAAGTTGCATTTTCCCCAAAGCATCATTTTCCGGGTATTTATTTTCCTGAATGTGAAGGAATATACAGAATTTTGCTTTTGGGGAATATTTGCTGGTTGCTGGCTACTCTGAAGTAATCGGTGTCATGGGAATATACTGTACTTAAGGACTGGTGTTCCACTACCACTGTCCATCCTGCTAGCTGCCTGCTGTTGGCTACTTTTTAATTTTTGGATTCCTATAAGAAGGTAAGGAGTTCAGTGGAGCAAATGAATTAATTAACTATTGACAATGTCTTTTGTTCTGCTTCTTTTTTTTTCCTTCTACAGCAAGTTCTCCAGAGCATAACTCAGCTTCACAGCTTGCTGGGCTTACTACAGGTAAGTGCTGAGAAAGAGGCAGAGGAAAAGTCTCTGCTAATGTGATAAAGCTGATCCAGTCTAAGGTTTCAGCTGAATAAGACGCAAGAGGTGCAACACCTGGAGCCTCCAACAAGAAGCTTCAGGGCTGAATGTGTTCTCCAGAACCCTTGAGCTCTGAGAAAATGTTGCTGAATTGTAATCTTGGATGAATCAGACAGAAACTCATGAAAGGCGAGGAGAGGAATTAAATTAACGAATTGAACTTTAAGGAGGCACATGGTATTTTTGGAATGAGGTCCTTCCTATGCTACTTAATTAAGGGTGGCCCTTAATTAAAGGAATGGGAAGAACAAGACACTTATTTATTATTCAGGTTTCTGGATGCCTGCATATATGTCAGCTTGCCAACAAAAGGTCTCATCATGGTATTGGAAATTTAAAATTAACAGTCCAGACAAGTAGTAATCAGTTATCACTGACCTCATGATTCCTCGTAAGAAGAGCCATGTCAAAGTCATGGGAAGAGCCCTTATTCCAGGCAGGGTCAATGAAATATAGGAGCTCCTGTAGAGGAAGGAAGGTCTTAATGTTGCACAGGATAGAAAAAATAGCCTTGGCGCTGAGATTTGTCTTTTATTCAGCCTCATACAAGGCTCGCAATCAAAGATAGCAATAACACTTATATACCACTCCACAGTACAACATTCTCTAAGCAGTTTATCAGTATATTGTCTCCAACAATCTGGAGTCCTCATTTTACTGACCTCGGAAGGATGAAAGGCTGAGTCAACCTTGAGCCTGTCAGGATTGAACTCCAGACAGCGAGCAGAGTTAGCCTACAACACTACATTCTAATTACCGAGCACCAGCAATCAAAGATGTAGGTTCCAAATGGAGGAAACTGTTATAATCTGAAATAGACCCATTAACTTGGATGGTTTGGAATGATTTGCAGTACATCCAGTTTGGCAAGATATTTTAATTTTACTATTTAATTCTGCGGATCTTTTCTAAAGCCAACGCCTCTCTTATGGGGATTGACTCTCATGGGTTCCTCGCAGGAATTTTAGCTCTAGTTTTGTGCTGCAAGCATAGAACCTTTGAAGAAAATTACTCAGCCTAGTAGAAAACCTCATCTCTCTCTTTTTTTTAAACAGGCTGTGGTTGTGCAGCAAGACACCTACATTGAAGACCAGAAGCTGCTGCTCACCGAGAGGACCTTGAGCCGCATCTCCTTCCGACCCAACTCCTTGATTGAGCAGGAAAAGCAACGCAGCCTGGAGAAACAGCGTCAGGAGCTCGCCAATCTGCAGAAGCAGCAAACCTTGCACCAGGAAGAAAGAAGGAAGAAAGAGAAGGAGTGGGAGGCCAGAGAGAAAGAGCTGACTGAGCGGGAATCTCAGCTGGGCCAGAAGGAAGAGCAGATCCAGAAAGAGCAACACAGCCTGGAGAAGGAGCGGGAAGAGCTGCAGCAGAAGAAAGCCGCCTACCAGCTCGATCTGGAACATCTCCGGACGGCCCAGAAGCAACTGGAGAAAGAAAAGGAGCAACTGAAGAGAGAAATGGAGCAAATATCTCAGCCTCAGATGGAACCCAATGTCAAACCGGTAATTGCTTCTTTGTACCTGTACGTTTTCTAGCATCCAACAAGGGAGGCTGGTGGAAGATCTGAAGATGCAGAGGTTCTAGATCACTCATTTTCAAATTATGCTTGTGGACCCTTCTGTTGAATCTATTGTCTTCTTTAGAAGATCAGTAATGTTTTTCTTCCACAACAGCATGTACCGCATGACTGATTTTCTTGTGCATTACACAATCCTAGATAGGAATTCTCAAGTCACTTCTATTCAATTCTGGAAGCCCCATTTTTTTTTTATCTAAGCAATATTATCCATGTTGAGATGCTCTCTGATTTTCTCCTTATGTATATAGTAGCTATAGTCGCACAACTATTACAGTGGACATCTGCAGGAGAACGTATCTTTTCACTGGTAGCACCCTGACCTACCAGATGAAGACTTGCTAATATTATTCAACATCAGTTTGGTTTTCTTGTGGTGTGTAACCTAGGTATACTATTACTTATTTCTGCTTTATATTGTTTTATTTTTATTTATTTTACATTGAAATTTAAACATGCTTTATAGTGCCAGGGAACTGAGGGTATTGGAGAATTTAAACATGTAATAAATACAAACATGAACACTCCATTACCATACCTATTTCTTGTTTTGTCTTGTGTCTTCCAGAATCCCAATCAACATGCCAAAATGAGCAGAACCTCTTCTTCCCTTCTTCCCACGGAGGACTTGTCTTCTAGACAGTTGTGTTCCTCTCTGCCCAAAGGGCACCTGGATACAGAACTTTCTGTCTCATCCAAAAGGAACAGTCTCTCAAGGACGAATAAAGAGAAGAGCTCTTTTCATTTGATTGGCACTACAACATCAGGCCAAACCAACAAGCCAACTGAAGGACCTGGGCAGATACCCAACCGCCTCTTTGGCTTAGCCAAACCGAAAGAGAAGAAGGAGAAGAAGAAGAAGAGCAAAAGAGATCGTTCCCAGACTTCTGGTAAGCATAGGGTGGGCTTGATGTTTCTAAAGGTTGCTCTCTGAAGTGTACAACTAAGGATGGAAATGTCTCTTACCAGATTGCTTGCTTGTGGTCCAGATCTGAGTCTTGACTGCAGATCAGTAGGCAACAGCAGAAGGGACCTCTGGAAAGTATAAACTCTGGCCTCCCTCAACCAAAAGAGGGACAGTATAGTTGTAAAGCTGAAGTGATTGAACTAATATTGAGAAAAAGATTCAAGTCCACCCTCAGTTAGATAGTCCTTAGCTGTGTTGCAGCGAATAAATACTTGAGACAGCTTCCACATTGACAAAAACACATCCAAAAGGCCATTTTGTTGTGATAGCATGTACAACTGAAACTTGCTGTTTTCGTGGGTTGTTCTCTTTGTGTAAGAGAAAGAATAGCAGAACTGGGGACAGAGTCAAAAGAGGAATCAGCCTAGAGTCCCTATATTCCCACTAATGGTCCAACCTCTCTTGAATTTTGCTGATCCTTATTTAATACCAACACAGTGCTGACTATTAGTTGATTAGATTCCTATGCATAGACACAAGCAATAAATCAATTTAATTGGAACGTAACATGTGGCCCTGATTTCTTTCAATCTTTCCCACCTGGGAGTTTGTGCGTAGGAATGAATGCCCTATAGAGGAAGTAATTTTTAGGCATTGTAATTTTAATGAGATCTACGTATCTTGGGGCAGGGTTAGAGATCAATTCATGCAGATTTCCACATTTAAATAAAAAGTAATTGCAACTGAGCATTCCAATTCCAGGATAATTTTGAAATAAATTAAACCAGACTTAGGGAAAAGTAGAATGTGGGGTTGTGTGAGCTGAATATGATGGATATGCAAGACATGATCCCAGATAAAGGGAGGTTAGCCCAAGTCCTACTCAGAATAGTCCAGACAAATAAGAATTCTTATCCTCCCCAGAGCTACAGTTATCTAACTTGCAAGTTGGAAGGGGTAAAATTTGACAGTAATAGAGATGATGCCATTCCATGTTGGTTTTCCTTTTGAACATATTCTTTGAAGGGTGATGCCTTTGTGCTAATAGAAGCATGAATTTAAAAGGAAAAAATGATCTTTGGCTCTAATATGAAGTGAAACCTTTTGCTGATGCGTTTACATTTTTTTTTCTTATATCGTAAAGAAGGAAAGACTGCTGACTATGGCAATATGCAAAAACATTTAACCGATTGACCTTGAGTAAACAGCTGTGCAGAATTTGTATAGGGTGAAGTCTTTCAGCTGTAGGGGACTCTTCACAGCCAACCTCCATAAGGGTGGTGACAGGTAGATAGATAATTATGAATTTTTTGTATCTCTTGTACTTATCAGTCTGCTTGGTCATTGTCTACGGAAATACTAATCTTTGTGAGTTTGTTCCACAGAACCACAATCCCTTAGAACTCTTCCTTTCTGAATAGTTTTCCGGTAGGATGCAGTTGGTTGCTCAAGTACACAGCAGTGCATAAGGAAGCCAAGAAATAAAGCAATCTCTGATGTGTGTTGATAATATTTTGATTTCTTTTTTTCCCCTCCTAGATGCTCACTCTCCAGAAGGAGCACCAGAAAGTGAGGAGATCTTTTGCTGATCCCATATCTTGTCTCCAGCCAGGCCACTTCAAGATCTGCCCTACAGAGAGAGGCCAAAGAATCAAACAACTATTCTTTATTCTAGACATTGAACTATGTTGGGCTTTATCACCTTTCACTCCTACAATCCACTGTCCATTCCCACTTCTGGATCTTCTTGAATATGTCACATCTGAAAACGTGTCCACAAGGGCAATATGAGGAGGAGGAGGAGGAGCAGCCACATGGAAGAACTGTGGATATAGCCAAACTGGGCAGGCTCAGTTTGGGCTCAATGTGCTCTGAAGAGCTCTGATTCTCTGTGCAATGCTAGCTTGCCTAGGCGGATATTCCTTTCTTTCCTTTTCGTCTTGAACAACAGGGAACTTGTGAACAAGGACATCAAAGCTCACCTTCTCTTAGGAAACCACCACCCCAAATCAAGAACCTTCTATAGAAACAAAAAACGATGTGACTCCTTACCCAGTGTTTCTACACTGGTCTATATAGATGTAATATCCACTTCTATACATACTTAACTAAATATATAGATATATTCACACTCACAAATAAATGTAGCTCAATATCCTTTGGATATGCTGTATGTCTGTACAGAAAAGTTAAGGAACTTTAGATGTATCCTAATGGGGTTGGCAGATACCTGAGTTCAGGGATTGGGGTCAGAGCTACACAGCCTCTCTTGGTTTGAGCTAGGTCCGTGAGTTTTGCCTTTGGCTGCAAAATTGGCCTTCTGCATCAAGATCATAGGGATTGTTTTGAAGTGGAAGGGCCCCTTAAGGCGAGATTCCTGGGGAATGGTTGAAGCCTATTGCCAAGAGGCAGGAAATTGGAGAAATGAAACAGGCCTTGTTGGAAATTAGAAAACCTGTTCTGGAAGTCATCTCAGAAGAGTTACAAAGGGAATACTTAAATCAGCCTGAATTTCCATGGAATTGTGAGGTACATCCTAACTACCTCTATGGGATTTGTCTGTCTGGGAAGCAACACCCATTGAGTTGGTTATGCAGTGGAAGAATCTGAAGAAGATATAAACTCAAACCAAATTCTCTGCTCCTGCTTCCCCAACTTCTCCTCCCAAACTCCTGTATACATTTTCTCCCGATTTCGTTGTATCGTCTTGCTAGAAGCTATGTCGAGGGAGTGGGTGACTGCCATCAGGGTGAACGTTGTGTGAGAAGTACAATTATATTGGATTGCTAGAATTTCTTCCACGTGGATTATAAAGAACCCCCCCTACCCCTGAATGTAACTTTGCAGATTGAATAGATTGGTTGCTCTAAGAATTGTAGAGTTCCCATCTCAATGCTATCATCTTTTTGAGTGAGGACAAACCATCATTTCTGAGGTGGAGCTGCCAGGAGTTGAAAAACGTATGTAAATGTACAGGCACCCCAAAACTATTTGCTGCAAACCTACTCCTCCCAATCGCTCCATTAGGACTTGCCTTAATTCATGGGTAGAGAAAAATAATCTCTTCCTGATCTATCCAAGGGCAACCAGACCTTCATCAGAGGTCAACACGTAAATATATATTTGATTTTTCTCATATGTGGATAGCCGTCAACCAGTTTCAGAAAATAAGTCATCTGAATTTGGTCCCCTCAACATGGAATATAGGAAAGTGCTTGTGTTTCCTCACCAGCAAATGGATACTATTGGTCTCCTCATTTGCTAGGCCAGAGAAGGGAATGTCTCTCTTGTAGTCCTCCTTTCCACTCAATTTTGTTTAGAAAAGCACATGGATGCTTTGCTCCAGGCAAGGGAGCAGGGGAGAAAATGGATCATTTCCCTTGTTCATTCCTTGTTCATTCGTGCCAACAGTAGATGTAATTGTCACGTCTTCCTTCCTTTCCTCCAAGGCTAACCTTGTAGGATCACCTGGCCCATCATAGTGTGTGTAGGGAGTTCTATTCAGCCCCAGGATTAAAATTTAATCTCCCCTCCTTTTCCCCCTCACATTAGTGACAAACTGCAAGAAATCTGGCGGGGTAAGAAAGGAGAGATTGGAAGAGCCAATAAGCAGCTCAGTTTGATGATTTGGGATGAATAAGCAAGAACATCCTTGTGTTGCAAATATTTACAACTCACTGTCACTGTGTTGTCCCAGAGATCTGTTTAGCTTTAAAACTTGGGGGGGGGGGGGGGGACACAACATTTTTGGCTATCCCACTCCTTCAAAGAAGGTTTTGCACTATTGTTCCATCCTTGCGTTCTCTCTTTAGAACATCTCAGGAGCCATTTTCATACACCACCCAATTTGCAGGATTAAAAAGGAAGAAAAAAAAACTTTAATGAGTGTGCCTTTACAGATATAGATGATCTCTGGGGACCTGGCTGAATCTGATGTTCTCTAAAAAATATTCGCGCTGTCCAAAAACAAAGCCAGAGGCAGCTAGAGAATGTTATTTCTTATATATTTTTTATTTTTATTACCACAATTGTTATGTGATATTTGTTCTCAGTTGCAAGCTGGGCTTGCATTGGAAAAAAAATCTTTCTGTTTGTTTGAAAGAAATCTGGATTTTTAAAATGACAAATGTTTACTTGGATTGTCTGTTTTTGCTTTATTTTTAAGCTGGGCTTATGAAGCCTAAAGAATGTTTGTGTGTGTGTGTTGGTGTGTATCTGTGCTTTTTATTGTTGTTGTTGTTGCTACTACTTCTTGTGTAAATATATCATTGATTACTGATGTGCTATTTGAAAAAAACCAGCATTAAATGCTATCAACCACTGCTAGGAAAAGAACCTCTAAAATGCAGCATTTCTTGGCCAAAGCAAACTTAAGATGCTGACTGGTGGCTGGCTCTTTGAAGTTTGGGTTGAAGCTGGAGTCGGTTCACACAGTGTGGATGCTTATTCCACTTTCACAGGTGCTAAAGAGGAATGGCAGGTTTTGGAAAAAAAACACTTCATAACTGCCAAGGAACCTCTTTGCTGCACCAAATGCTCGAGTTAACAAGTCCACTTTTTCCTGCAATGAAATTCAATTCTTAAGTTTTGAAGAGAGTTTAATTTAGTTTAATCTTGTATTCTTCCTCTCTGCAACGCTCCATGCGAATGCAGAAATGCAAGAAAGAGCAAAAGAGATACTACTTGATGCAGAAAGCTCTTAGCCAAAATCTCTGCTGCCAATCTTTCTTTTCGTCACCAAGAGACTACATATAGAGATGGATTTATGTATTTCAAAGAAACCTGTGGGTATTATGAGCTCTTTATATCATGTTCGTTTCCTGTTCAGCTAGATTATGGTTGGTTATCATAGTGAGTTCTTTTTGGCAAGGATTGCACTAGCATCACAAATTATATGACAATGCATTTCTCTCACTTGAGTTCCTCCCACTTGTTCCCATAGGCTTTTGAGAAGGTACCAGTTGCGTGTTTCCTATTGAAATATATCTTGAAAAGGAAAAGCTTTAAAAATAAAAAAATGTACATCAATGGAGAGTCGAAAGGAAAAAAAAATGTTATATATTCATTTGTAATTATGTAAAAAAAAACAAGTTAGGTTTACGATTGTAAATTTTTTAATTTCCCACACTGTAATTTGCAAAAATGGAAAAAAACAGATTTTCATAATCTTTTATTTATCTACCTTTCTTGCTACGAAAAACAACTCTTGTAAAAAGTTAAATTTCCCTAACCCTTTAAATAAATGTTGATTCTAAGTCAGATGAGTTTTTTGCTTGCTGGTCTCTGTGTATCTGTATCTCTCCATGTGTTTTCTCACCCTTCCTTTTCAGATTGAAACTGTTGGATAAAACAATTGAATAAGCTGCTTTATTTCGTACACAGAACAAAGGAAGGAAGCCCTCTGTGGTGACAGGATAAATGTAAATACATTTTTGTGCAGCACTGAATAGAAATGTAATCCCCGCCACAAAAAAAAATGAATTAAAGGAAGAAAAGACAGTAAGAGGTTGAGGGGTAGGGGAGTCAGTTCCTTTGGGAAATATTGAAATAAAGATAATTGGCTTAGCTATCTCTCCCAACAGATGAATGTGGGTGAATGTGTTGGTGCAAAATCACGGATAAATGCCCAGTAAGGTGGTTGGGCCAGGAATAAATGCTGTGTGCACTTTTGCATGTGGGATGCACATGGGATGATGTGAACCATGTCAGGTAAAGACTAGACAACTACATTTGTACTTGGTTGATGTTGTTATTGATAAGATTTTTTTGTGTGTTTTAAGATGATGGGCGAATCCAATCAGGTTGATTTATGATGCAGCATATTGTACTAGTCAGGGACTTGGTTAATTTTTGTAAATTATTGGCGCAGTGGTTAGAATGCAGTACTGCAGGCTAACTCACTACTCACTGCCAGGAGTTCGATTCTCAGGGTTGACTGAGTCTTCCGTCATCCCAATGTTGGTAAAAAGGGGACCCAGATGATTGGGAGGGGGGAAAGCTGACTCTATAAACTGCTTAGAGAGGGCTGTAAAGCACTGTGAAGCGGCATATAAGTTTAAGTGCTATTGCTAATTGCTTAAATGCTATTGCCAAGTGAATACTAAGCATTTTCTTTATAAAGAGATAGTCCCTCGAGTGTAGTACATTCATTTGACATGACCGGCAAGGCTAAAATCCCAAAATATCTAGTACCATAACACTGATATGTTCTTTGCAATAATGACCATCAAGAGAAACAGTGCACAATGCATGGAAGAGTGCAAGAAGCTGTTAATCATAATTAAAAGGGGCCCAGCAATTTTATCTAACGATCACTGATATGCTATATAAACCATTTTATTTTATTTTGAAACAATATTTGCTTTGTGGCCAAACCCCCAAAACTGCTTTTGCAACCAAAAAAAAATGTACTAATGATCCCAATTTGACTCAGGCAGTTACTGTGACCAACCTTGGCTGATTTAGAAGTTAAAACAGATTCTGATTTGGTTAGTACTTAGATGGGAGGCTATTAGGACGTCTCTGAGCACTTTAGATTCAGAAGTTGAAACAAACATTTTGGAAGAAACAAAGCAAACAACTTTACTACTGTGGTCAAGAAAACTATGGATGTGTTTGTTTCTTTAATATGGTGATTCCGCTGGTTGATCACTTTAGGAGGTCAATATTTATTCTGAGTATGTAATTTTTCTTCTTGGACAATTGACCTTGTGGATCCAGAGAATGAGCAGATTCTAGAGTTCAGTTCTTTTCTGGATTGAAGAATGGGGTTTGTAGTCTTCATTCTACATTCCTCAGGAAGGTAAAACCCGAATTCTGGATTAGGTTAACTAAGCTTTTAACTTTGTTCTGCTTCCATAAATCTGTTGCTGAACCTTCTTCCTTGATACAATATTCTCTCTCTCTGTCTCTGTCTCTGTCTCTCTCTCTGTATGTGTGTGTGTGTGTGTGTGTATATACATACATACATACATACATACATACATACATACATACAGAAGCCTGATGATGGCAGATGAGATTCTGCCGAAACGTTGCTACAACTTTAAAAGCACAACTACAATGACATGGGAAAATACCCGAACAAAGCTGAATGCTATATATATATATATATATATATTTATATTTATATTTATATATATATTTTTATATATATTTTTATATATATTCTTAAGTTTTTGTGGGTACTTACATGTATGGTATTCAGCTTTGTTCGGGTATTTTCCCATGTCATTGTAGTTGTGCTTTTAAAGTTGTAGCAACGTTTCAGCAGAATCTCATCTACCATCATCAGGTTTCTGTATTGTGTTCGTCTGTGAGTCAGACTTTCACAGCAACATTGTGTTCCTGTTTTGGAGGCTTTTAGGACAGCACAGAAAACATATACATATGTTGAAATATGTAAGAGCAGAGCATCCAATTCCTGGCACAGATCATCTTCTAAGGTTACCAAAGCAGTTTCAGTAGCATAGCCAAAGGGAACCAGATGGCTCATACTATTTGCAATGTGTCTGGAGCTCTGAGGCCACCACATTGTCTATCATTTTTCTGTGGGGTCCTTGGTACTCTCTGAGCTTGGTTGTTTTCTTTCAGCCAAGCTTCATTACCAAACTTCATTACCAAAATGTTTGGTAATGAACCCCACTCCCCACCAGCACTGATGATGTTACCTAAATTGCTAATGTTGCAAGAAAACAACCAAGTTCAGAGAGCACCAAGGACCTTTCATTCCAACCCTGAGCTATACTCTCTTCTACCACCATCATTTTTCTCAGGATGGGAACATTTTGAGACTAGCCTAGAATTGGACAGGGGAGCTTTCTTCCTAGCCTGGGTAAGATCTGGTTATTGCCTCTTTCAGCCATGAGTGGAGATGAGAACACATGACCAATTCTGTTTGCTGCTCCTCTGCATATTGCACAGAGCCAGCACTATTATTCACA